TTACGTATTGCCTTCTTTTGTCAAAGATACCAGTAAGTCAAGTCTTCTGGTCTTAGATGGATATAGTGTTTATCATAATATAAATAAATCTAATATCTTTAACTGGTTTTCTTGGCAAAAAATTAATTGAGTTGGATAATAATCTTTGTTTGTTTTAATGTTAGTAAATACCTTTATAAGTCTACTCTATTTTTAATATAATATTATAAGTCAAAAATTACTTGCTTTATTTAATCATTTATTGCCATTCATAAGTTACAAGAGTAAAATAAATAAAAATGTTTCTACATTTTATTTTGACCTATATCATTAGCTTGACCAAAAATTAAATGGTTAACTGCTAAAAAATAAGTTGTACATATCAGATAGAGACCAAAATGTAAGTAATCCCTTTTATGACAATATCCCATTTTATTAAAATTTGCAATTTATCATATTTTAGGAAGATCCATTTGAAATTTAAGTAATCCCTTTTATGACAATACCCCTTTTATTAAAATTTGCCATTCGTCATATTTCAGAAGATCCATTAAAAAAGATAAAAGAACAAAATAGGCAATGTTAAGAATTACATTTTAATCATAAAACTTAAAATTATTAAAATGGGTACATTAAAATCTTAAAAACTGTTCTTAAGTATCCTACTAAGTTAAAACTCCTACCTCAAAAGAACCTATACCCCCCAATTACATACTTCAAGGACCCAATACCCCTAAGAACACTCACGGAATAATGACATTTAAATCTGCAGTAGTCCACATAATGATCGCTCTCATTTTTGATACGAACGAAAAAAAAAAAAAACCATTTAATTAAAACCATCATTTCCACACACAAAAAAAAAATGGGAATCGCCAACCCAATTGCACATTTGATTAAACATTCGTATTAACGTACATCGAAAACCTACAGGGGAAAAAAAAAAAAAAAAAAAAGCATTCTCTATCACCATTAAAACGGTAAAAGACCTTAAAATCTTACTGAAACGGAATTCTCATTGATAAAAGAAACCCAGGAAATGGTCTCTTTTCTCCATTCTGTATAATGAATCATCGGAAATGTAATTGAAGACAGCGGTAAACGGTCTTTAGGGTATGGGAGTAGAAAGAGTTGTAATTAAGATGGGCGAAAAGCCCACACTCAAGTTTCAATCGATACAGCGATTCCACTTCACACACTTTATCGATAGTGAGGAAAACATTTCGAGTACCATTTAAATTGTTCTTTTCTAACTGTTGAAATCGGTTTGTGAGCCACGATGAATATAGAATAAATGAGTTCTTTGAATTGGAATCATCAATTTATTCCATGAAGAAAATGATTTCCTTTTTAATGCTGGAGGGATGGTAAATTAAAGAGATTGTTGGGAAGTGACCAGATGCTTACTCATAAGTAACTTTTAAAAAAAAAATAATATTTAATGTATCAGGGATTCAAAAAATGATTTGTCACTTAATCAGTAGCCATTATGTTACTATCAAAAAATGAAAATGGACAATTATACATCAAGCTGTTTGACTCATCGTCACATACAATGCATTAATCTTACCAAAAATGACCCGTCAATTGCTGTCTATAATCACATATATATTGCATCGATTGATGTACTTTTTAAGAACACACCATGTTAGGTCTATTATTGCACTTCAATTTTTCACACCGTTAGGTCTATTGCTATATTTTAACGAACACTTTATGTCAGGTCTATTACTGTACTTTAACAAAACTTCATGTCAAGTCTATTGCTGTCTTTAAAATATCATATTGCATCGACTGATGTACTTTAAGAACACACAATGTTAGGTCTATTATTGCACTTCAATAACACACCGTTATCTCTATTGCTATACTTTTTTAACAAAACTTTATGTCAGGTCTATTGCTATACTTTAACAAAAACTTCATGTCAAGTCTATTGCTGTCTTTAAACACATATCATATTGCATCGACTGATTTACTTTAAGAATACACCATGTTAGGTCTATTAGTTCACTTTAATAACATACCATGTTAGGTCTATTTTGTACTTTAACACACCATGTTAGATCTAATACTGTACTTTAACACACCATGTTAGTTCTAATACTGTACTTTAACAAACTTCATGTTAGATCTAATACTGTACTTTAACACACCATGTTAGGTCTAATACTGTACTTTAACAAACTTCATGTTAGGTCTATTTCTACTTTTAAACACATAACATATTGCATCGATTGATATACTTTTTAAACACATAACATATTGCATCGATTGATATACTTTTAAACACATAACATATTGCATCGATTGATATACTTTAACAACACCATGTTAGGTCTATTGCTGTAATTTAACAATACACCATTGTCATAATTATTTCTTAAATAGTTTTACACCGAAGAAATTAACCGAAGAAGAATTATTTGTAATTATTTTTCTTTTTGAAAATAAGATGCATTAAGTTTACTAATAAATCCATCTATTGCTGCATATAACCCCCATATCATAATGTATCGATTGATATACTTTGACAACACCCATATTAGGTCTATTGCTGTACTTTAACAACACATCATGTTAAGTTTATTTACTGTATTTTAACAACAAACTATGTTAGGTATATTGCTGCCTTTAACCACATCGATTGATGTACTTTAACAGCACACCATGCTAGATCAATTCCTGTACTTTAAAAACACCATGTTTAGTCGATTACTGTAATTTAACAATACACCATGTTAGATCTTTTCTGTACTTTAACAATACAACGCTGAATGTATAAGACGTTTCATTGATACAAAATGGTACCGATACAGCAAATATCAAATTTCTTGTGAATATTAAATCAAGCTCTTACAGATGTATTCCATAATAAAATATTTATCTAGTGTATTGTAATGTAGCTTTTTATTAATCGTTATAATAATATGAAAAATTAACAATTATTATTAACTAAAATTCTTCCAAAAGAATAAATGTTCGCTAATTATTGATATTCTATCAATAAAAAATATATGCAGAATATGATATAAAAATTTGATATGATAATATATCACATTTCATGTGGACTATTATCAAACACTGACAGATGTATTCTATAAAAAAATAAATCTAAATATCACTATATATTCTATATAGTATTTTATAATGTAGTTTAAGCCAACGGCATATCTTGCTGAATATGGGTTCTCGTTAGATCACCGAAGTCAAGTATCATCGGGCGCGGTCAGTACTTGGGTGGGTGACCCACCTGGGAATACCACGTGCCGTTGACATTCACAAATTTGGGATCTGAATGGTCGAGTGTCTAGCACTCTGGCGCTCAGTGCCACAGGTTTTTCGGGTTCGATCCCGGCGGTGCCATGGATGTTTGTATGGTTCGGAATCCACTTTAAGCCGTAGGTCCCAGTCTCCTATGACTGTAGAGCGTCACAGGGCCAAGTCGAGGCTTCTACCTACGGGTGCTCCATCACAGCAGAAGCTGCTTCCTTCCCTTCAATCCCAGTACGTATGGGCTTGTGGGCTTGGCCATAAGTGGGATAGTTTGTAGTTTTTAAAGTATTATAATAATATGAAAAATCAACAATTAATGTTGTCGATTTTTAAAATTAATGTTAACTGAAATTATTCTAAAGGAAATATATGTTCACTAATTATTGATATTCTAGCATAAAGATACAGCAAATATGACATTTTTCCTGTTCAATATTAAATCAAACACTTAAAGATGTATTCTAAAACAAAATATCTAGCCAGTGTTTTGTAATGCAGTTTTATTAAGTGTTATGAAAAATCAACAGTAAATAAATTCTGAATTAATTAACTAAAATACTTCTGCAGGAATACATTTTTAAAATAATTATTGATATTCTAGCATAAGGATAAAAAAATATCAAACATCAAATTTTTCTATGTATGATTATGTATGCATACATAGAAAAATTGTAAAATTATTTTATGCAAAATGATATAGAACAATTTAAAATAAATTGTATTTATATTATATGAATGTATTAATACATTGAATAATTTAAAATTATTCTATTTTAAATTATTGTATTTTTTTCCAATTATTCTGTGCATGAATATGTACAGTAAATCTAATTTACTTGCACAACGCCATTTCTTAAGTATTAACAAAATCATATTGAATACTTTTCAATTTTTGACCACAGAAAATCTCCCACGCTTACAAAAATGGGTTTTTTTCATCCAAGATTTCTTTAATACCTGCACGACATTAAGATTATCGATCAAGTCCCTACACTCTATCGGAATCTCATTTTAACTGGAGTAAAAAATTATACTTTTAGGTTCTCAATTTAAGAGAATCTGTCTAAACCAAAGTCAATTTCAATTTTCTTTCGAGTGCAGATCATTAAACATCATTTAACATCTCTTTTATTAACAGTAAGTGCTTTATAGGAAGGTAATTTTTTTTTCAGATCAATGGGTTTTTATGGTTCTTTCTCTTTATATATTTTTTATATTTTTGCTCTTTTTTTTTTTTGTATGTGCTAAAAAGTTTCAAAATTTTCAAAGGAAAAATTATCCCTGTAGACGTTCATCAAATTTGAAGTAATTTTCATGCAGTATTTATTACAAAATTCTAAATATATATATTTTTTAAGTTTTTGTATCTTTTATCATGACATATTTTTATTTTCTATGTATTTGTTGATTTTTTTAAAAATAATCTATCAAATTCATAAATTTTTTTGTATTTTTCCAGTAACAGCTGCATTCTACCTTTTATATTTATGTCATTGTATTATATGTGTGTGAGAATTCTAGGTTTTGTGATCTTATACATGGAAATATATTACTTAACTAATTTTTTCAACTTTTGTTTTAAATTTAATATTCATTTAATGGAAATTTAAATATAATTTTTACAAAATAACATGTTTTCTTTGTTTATTTTGTTTCATCAATTCAATTTTTTACAAAGTAGCTTTTTCATATCATCATTTTTTTTAATCAATGCAATTTTTACAAAGTAACATTTTCTTTTATCAATATAATTTTTCAAAGTAACAATGTTTTACTTTCATCAGTACGATTTTTACAAACATCATGTTTTCTTTCATCCTTTTTTTCATTAATACAATTGTTGATGGAAAAAATGATAAAAAAGTATGGGTTGGGGCAAGCATGGTTTTTTTTTTCATCCAAGAGATTTTCCATAATACCTGCACGACATTAAGATTATCGATCAAGTCACTACACTCTATCGGATCCCATTTTAACTGGAGTAAAAATCTTTATACTTGTTGCAAGTTCTTTATTTCAGAGAATCTATCCTAACCAAAGTCGAATTTCAATTTTCTTTCGAGTGCAGATCATTAAACATCGTGTCCTCTTTTATTAACGAGTAAGTGCTTTATAGGAAGGTAATTTTGTTTTGGAGATCAATGGGTTTTAAATTTTTTTCTTCTTATATATTTTTGTATTTTTTGTTCTTTTCTTTTTATATTTTTATGTGGTTAAAAACATTCAAAATTTTTCAAAGGAAAATTTTTCCTATAACAAAAGTATTGATCACTGATCATGTGAGGTAATTTTCATGCAGTATTTATTTTAAATTTCTAAAAGTATTTTTTTTTTTGTAGTTTTTGATACATTTTATTATAATCCACACATTTTTTTTTTTCTAATGTATTTGTTGTCATTTCTTTTAAAAATAATTTATCAGATTCATAATTTTTTTGTTTTGCTTTTTGGTAATTTACCAATAATAGCTGCATTTCATTCTCATCATTGTATTATATACATTTTTTAAAACTTAGTTTGCTATTTCATCATTTTGCTGCTTTTGAATTCAGTTATTGGGGTTTTGATTCAATTTTTACAAAATAACATGCTTTTCGTTCATCATTTTTCATCAATAAAATTTTTTTACCAAGTATCTTTTTTTTCATTTCATCATGATTTCTTTATCAATAATTTTTTACAAAGTAATTTTGTTTTTCTTTCATATTTTTCATCAATACAAATTTTTTTCAAGTAACATGCGTTTTCTTTCATCAATTGTTTTCTTTCATCATTTTTTTCATCAATTTTTTACAAAGTAACATGTTTTTCTTTCATCATTTTTTCATCAATACAGATTTTTACAAAGTAACATGTTTTTATTTCATCATTGTTTTCATCAATACAATTTTTACAAAGTAACATGTTTTTCTTTCATCATTTTTTCATCAATACAATTTTTACAAAGTAACGTTTTTTTTCATCATTTTTTCATCAATATAATTTTTACAAAGTAACATCATTTTTCTTTCATCATTTTTTTCATCAATATAATTTTTACAAAGTAACATCATATTTTCTTTCATCAATACAATTCTTACAAAATAACATCATGTTTTTCTTTCATCATTTTCATCAATACAATTTTTGATGGAAAAAATGATGAAAGTATGGGTTGGGGCAAGTATGTGTGTGTTTTTTTTTTCATCAAGAGATTTCTTTAATACCTCTTAATGCACGACATTAAGATTATCGATCAAGTCACTCCACTCTATCGGAATCCCATTTTAAGTGGAGTAAAATCTTTATACTTGTTGCATGTTCTTTATTTAAGAGAATCCATCTGAACCAAAGTCAAATTTCAATTTTCTTTCGAGTGCAGATCATTAAACATCGTATTCTCTTTTATTAACGAGTGAGTGCTTTATAAGAAGGTAATTTTTTTTTGAGATCAATGGGTTTTTTAAGGTTCTTTCTGTTAATATAAGTGATTTTGCGTAAGGTTAAAAATGTTAAAATTTCCAAAAGTTAAATTATCTATGTAGCATTGTATTGATCACTGATTTTTAGTGTTAATTTCCATGCTGTATTTATTTAAAATATTTTTTTGTAACTTTGATGTCTTTTATTATACCATATTTTAATTTTTTATATATTTATAAATTTTTAAAAGATATTTTATCATATTCATAATTTTTTTTCTGTATTTTTCCAATAGTAGGTGCCTTTTTGCTTCCAACATGTTTTTCTTTCATCATTTTTTTCATGAATACGATTTTTACAAAGTAACATATTTTTTTTCATCAATACGATTTTTACAAAGTAACATATTTTTTTCTTTCATCATTTTTTTTCATTAATACAATTTACAAAGTAACATGTTTATTTTGTTTTTGTTATTTCACATAAGCTTTAAGCGTTTTTAAATTCTATGGTTAGTCATTTCATGCTATGAGCAGAAATTCCAAAAGCTCCATTTTGCAGGATGATAGAAATTAAATGCATTTTTATAAATTTATAAATCCCATTCACATTTTCATAATTTCTTGCAATGTAATCTTTTTTTTTTTTTTTTTTTTTTGATAAATTGCCAGTTTGCTGTTCTGGCTTAACAGATGTCTTATTTGTAAAAATGCTTTTGGCTTGTCTTTTTATAAAAATTAATAAACAATATTAAAATGTATTTGTCAGCTTTGTCTTTTATAATTGTAAGGAAAATCATCCAATAAATGAAAATATTTTTATTTTATTTTATTTATATGTGTTGACCTTTGAAACCCAAAATATATACTAAAAAAATGAACATCAGTAACATAATAATAATGATAATTCTTCATATTCGATTAATGAAGGTTTTCTTACAATTTGTTAAAGCCAATAGGGTATCAGTAAGATATTTTTTTATAAGAATATTAGATTTAAAAGAAAATTAATCTTACCTACATGAATCAAAGTGCAAGAATTCAGTTTATGTAGAACAAAACACACCATGGAAAATATTCATAGATTTATGCTTCATATATTTATACAACTGACGTATCGAACGTCAGTACTAAAAATTAGATATAAGGAAGCATTTGCTAATTAGTGAGCTAAGGAAATGTTAATAATATTAAAATCGTAATAAAGATACCAAATTGAGACTTTTAGTCTAGAATTTTGTTTTAGAGCTTTAGTCACGTTAAAAAAAATTGAGTTTTTCTCAAACATTATAACGATATGTATGTAAGTATTACTCATGTAATGACTCATTTTATACATCATTAAAAAATTCATTTCACAAATATGACAATAAACTAGAATTGAAAAAACAATTTTTTCTGCTATAAGAAAAATTTGACACAAGGCTATGAATATGTGTCCTTACCTATCATGATGTTTTTTTCTTCTAAATGATTATTTTTTAAGTCAATTGTGATAATTGACACTCGCACATCTATATTTTGAAATAAAATATTTTGTAATTATAAAAAATAATAAACAGAACTTGATTGAAAATGTTTTTTCAAACCAAGTTGG